TAAAGTAAACTTTAATAATATTTAGATTAAAATATAAAGTATACGGATATTGGGCTCGTTGGATAGATAATAATTAAAGACGCATTTTAGACTCGAGAAAAAATTAATTTGGGTTAGTCGAGCCCAAGTTATCGAAGCCGGAAGATATAACATTAAAATATTATTTTTATTACTTTTATTGTTGAAGGATTCACGTGGAGAGAGAAAGATGAAAGTTGTTGAGATATTTTATTTTTTTATTATAATTTATGGTTTTGAATTGTTATGGCAGGCACGTGATTTGTTAGAAAATATTGTATTTAATATTATTCCAAATTCAAATCTTTATCCAACTTTTTGTACAATCATTATTATCCTATTCCTTGTGTAGCACGATTTCCACTTCTAGTTGCATCAGGATTCTTTTATTTTTTTATTTCAAATACTCAGCAAAAGTCATACTTCAGCCTACTTTTATTTCCAAAGCATAAGGAAGAAAAAGAAATATGTTTCTGGCAGCAGTAATCGAAAGCCAAAGTTTTGGAAAGAGATTTTGGATTTTTGCCTTTCATTATTTAAGTTATCTAACAAGGTAGGATTACGAGGTGCAAGTGGGTTGTCCCATTTAAATTATTTCTTCATGTTTGATAAATATTATACTTATGAAAGTTATGATATGTGTAATGTGATTATGATATATATGTTATGGCCATCCGGTACCAAAGATATGATATGATATGAGCTCTTACCGGTTCTAAAGATGTGATATGACGGTATGATATTTTGATGCGTGATTTAATATTTTTTAATTGGGATTGCACAATTTCTCGTACCCTACTGAGTATTCCCATATACTCACCCTTTTCCTACTCCTGGTTCGAAGGTGTGGTTGCGTCTTGTTTCGCCAAATAAAGATCTAAGTTAGCACATAATGTTTATTTATTTTCAGTTAATTGCAGTAAACATTTATTTATTTACAAATAAATTCTCATTCATGTTAGTTGTAGATGAATATACGTAGTTTATGATTTTTAAATAGAAAGTAATGGATAATTTGTTTTTAAGTTCTTCCAAGTTTTTTTTTTATTTTATAGATGGAACTAGAAATATTTTCGTGTTGGATGATTAATTATTTTTAATTAATCTTGAAATAAGGGTTTGGTAACGATTTTTGAAACTATTTAAAATTTGGGTCGTTACAATTTGTATCCTGGATATGCAAAGGCCAAGAAACAAGGATAAAGGGGAAGATAGTATTTAATTTCTCGTTTTATTTTTTCGACTTGCAACAAATCTATGAAAACATTTAGGCCCCGTTTGAGCCCCATTATTTTTCATTACATTAAATTAAAATTTTCTCCCTCATACTTTTAACGACACTCACGTACTTGTACTTATAATTATTTTTTTCCCTCTCATACTTTTAACCACACTCACATACTTATAATTATTTCTCTCTCATACTTATAATGAGAAATAATGGGGCTCAAACGGGCTCTTAATAACTACCGTATTCAAGAACAAAACACTCACTCTAAACTCTAACTAGTTATGCAAATTTATGAGAGCAAACACCAAACTTATGTGAGAAATAAAAGAATAATATATACATGATCTTGGAATAAAACCCAAATCCAACAGGAAGGAAAAATCTCACCAACAATGTCGCTGTTCCGGTAGTGATATATCACAGATGAGTTGTCGGATCTTGATCTTAACCATACAGATTTGAAGCTCAATGAGTTGTGCACTTGCTATCCAAATCTCACAACGATCAGACATTGGACCGTAAAGATATAGCCATATGATCAAAATCTGCTAAGCTGCCTTTTCTTCTCTGTTTTCCTTTTGATCTCTCTATTTTTGCTCACCGACCGCCGAATATGAAACAAATAGGGATTGAATCAATTTTAATTATATTTGCTATGTCAGTCCCTCAAGTTTGGATAATACCAAAATTTGAACTTACACATTAGTCTCTTGAGTGTTGGAATAAATACCAAAATGCATTTCTTTAATGAGTTTGAACATTCACCAAGCTTTGTCCCCACTACATGTGATGGACCCTAACAAATATGTTAAGTTTATGACATCTGACGCACTTGACGAAGAATCAATAATCACCTAATTTTAAAGAACTAGAAAGGAGTACAAAAAAGGAGAGAGAAGAGGGATAAAGAGAGAGGATCAAGAAAATGAGAAAGAAATAGTATTTTTATTCAAAATCAAAGTGTGAAAGTAATAAAAAAATTACATTTCTTTACAAAGGTCCAACCTAGACTAATTTAAGAAGAAATAACTAAAGAAATAAAGCAAAATATTAGGAAATCTTTAAAATTAAAACTTAATTGCTTTTTCTAAATTAAGCGTACAACCTCGTCAAGTTTTTCACAAAATATATATTGTGATCTCCATCATTCTACCGAGCAAGGAAAAGCTTGACTCTAGATAGATAGACCACAACATATTATCCAAGGGGTCAATCTTTCTTCCATATCAAATATAAAAGAGCTCCTAATCGAAATGTAGTGTATTCGTTTCCTATGACATATCAATTGATTCCATAGAAACACAAGGAGCACGAGACACTAGCACTATAGACGGGCATGTAAAATAGATAATTGCAATATCATGGCTCTAATGTTCCCAATAAGGAACAATTCAACTAAAAGCTTTCATTTCCTTTGCTTCTTTATCGAATTTGATTGTTTAGACACATAAAGAGGGTTTATTCATTGTGATAGATACACTTTGAATATGTCGACATCAAGAGTTCAATACTGACACTTGGTCAAGACAAAAGATCGACCTATTTGGAGTATAAAGTTTAAATCTATCTCATCGGCATCGAATTCTCTCAACCGTCGAGAAATAATGGGAATAAAATACAGTTAATTATATTAGTTGATTATAGTTTTCTAGTTTGAAAAAAATAGGTTATTATTAATAGGTTTCTAGTTTAACAAAGTTAGGGCTTATTTAGTTTCTTTCTCAAATTAGGATTGCTTAAACTCTATATAGAGAGGGTTTATTCATTGTAATAGATAGAATTTGATATATGAAATAAATAACAATCTTCTTGTCCTAAATTCTAACTCTTCTTGTCTCTCCCCTTCTTTCCTCAACATTGTTCTTGTTTGTTGCATCCTACGTTAATGTGTGATGAATATTTCACATTATTTCAACAAAAAATAATATATGCTACACAACTATAAGTCAATTTCTTGTAGAAAACTTCTACAGCCAACTTCCTTCCCCAGAACAATATACGGGCGTCAATTACGAGTTACAATGGCAATAGATGTGTCAAATGCTAAGCACTCAATACATTTAATTGATTAACCACAGAAATCCCTACAAACCCAGTGGAAAAGGTAGAAAAAACGTAACTAAGAAAATCAAAAAGACCAATCATCATCCTTGTTAATGTTTGTCTAAAATTCAAGAACCATAAAACATGCATTCTTGTCAATCTAACCAAACTAATCAACGTTGAAACCAATTGTTAAAAAATTGGTAAAAGACTACGATCATTAATTTTCGTCGTCCTCATCAAAGATTAGCGCAGATGCTAAGAATTTCAGAACATGCATTCTCAGTGGCCTCACCAAACTAATCATCGTTGGAAATAATTTTTATTGAACTGAATGGATATTGAAGCATGAAACGAGTCGCATATAGCTAATACTAAAATAGAAGTAAAAACCAACTCACATTAGTTAGATATGTAAATATATATTGTACAATTCAAAGTTTGTCTTTTGAGTTCTATGTTAATTTAACATGTAGAATTTTCGAAGGCATGATTAGATTATGTTCATGAATATCCATATTAAAGTTTCACTTAAACGTAAAATTCATGAATTTTGCATTTATTATTCAGAAATTTATGTGCTTGACTTTCATAAAAGCTATGTAAAGCCTTCATTTGTAAGATAAACATATAACTCAAATGAGTACTTTCTTCTCTTGAGTGTTCTTCTACATGTGACATTTTTAAAACTAGTTAGATGCTTAAGAAAGGTTGTCTGAACTTG